GTCGATGAGGATGATGATTTAGGGTTGGGAACAGTTCACACAAGTCATGAAACTCCTGAGGATGATGATTCAGGAAACAGAAGCTGTGCCTGCAGATGAAGGTGGCAGAATGAAAGAAAAGGACAGCAATCCTCAGGCACCACCTCATATAGTTCGACGACACCCCCATCTCTAGTCATCGGAGACCCCAGTCGAGGTATGCTTACTCGTTCTAAGTCTTATGCTGAGCACACTGCCTTTGTAGCTCAATTTGAACCTAAATGCATAAATGATGCAATAAATGATGAGTACTGGTCAGCAGCTATGCATGATGAAATGAACCAATTTGCCAGGACTCATGTTTGGGACTTAGTCCCTAGACCTAAGGACAAAATAATCATTGGAACCAAATGGATTTTTCGAAATAAAACTGATGAACTTGGAATCATAATTAGAAACAAAGCTAGGTTAGTAGCTCAAGGCTATTGTCAGGAGGAAGGGGTTGATTTTGAAGAAACATTTGCCCCTGTAGCCAGGTTAGAAGCCATACGTCTCTTATGTGACTTTGCTGCCTCTAAAGGTTTCAAGCTGTATCAAATGGACGTAAAAAGCGCGTTTCTAAATGGTGAAATAAAAGAGGAAGTGTATGTCTCTCAACCTCCTGGGTTTGAGGACTCAGAACACCCTGAATACGTGTTTAAACTGAATAAGGCCTTGTATGGACTCAAGCAGGCTCCTAGACCCTGGTATGAGAAGCTAAGTAATTTCTTGATTGAGAAGGGTTTTCATCGTGGACAAGTTGACAAAACCCTATTCATTAAAACTGAAAAAGAAGACACCTTGCTTGTTCAAGTCTATGTCGACGACATAATCTTTGGCTCTACGAGTCAAAAATTATGTTCTGAGTTTGAAAATGATATGAAGAATGCCTTTGAAATGAGTCTTATGGGGGAATTAACATACTTCCTTGGGTTACAAGTAAAACAAACCAGTCAGGGAATCTTCATCAGTCAGTCAAAATACTTACATAATATGTTAAAACGTTTTGATCTCAACAATCTAAAAGCAGCTTTGACCCCCCATGGGATCTTCTGTTAAACTAACATCTGATGAATCTGGAAAATCAGTAGACTGTAAGAAATTTTGTGGAATGATTGGCTCTCGGTTATATCTCACTGCGAGTAGGCCTGATATTATGCATAGTGTATGTGTGTGTGCACGATTTCAGGGTAATCCCAAGGAGAGTCATTTCTCTGCCCTTAAACTAATTTTTCGTTATCTAGTAGGGACTCCCTCTCTAGGTCTCTGGTGCTCCAGCTCATCTAGTCTAGATCTGATTAGCTACAGTGATTCTGACTATGCTGGATGTGTAGTTGATAGGAAGAGCACCTCAGGTGCTTGTCATTTCCTAGGTTCCTCTCATGTGTCATGGTTCAGTAAAAAGCAAAGCTCAGTGGCTTTATCCACAGCTGAAGCAGAGTATATTGCTGCTGGCTTTTGCTGTACTCAAGTCTTGTGGATGAAATACCAACTTGAAGACTATGGTCTCAAGTTAGGTTCTCTTCCTATCCTGTGTGACAACACCAGCGCCATTAACATGACTAAAAACCCAGTCCAACACTCTCGAACCAAGCATATAGAGGTTCGTTATCATTTTATTCGAGACTTGGTCCAGGAAGGAAAAATACACTTAGATTTTGTGGGTACTGATTCTCAATGGGCTGACATATTCACCAAACCCCTGCTCATTGATAAATTCTTACCTATTATACGCGAACTTGGCATGTTTACTCTAGAAGAAATATTGGAAATCTCTTAGGATTCTGTGATATCTCAATTTCCTTAAATCCTTCCAAAAAGTGTCCATTAAGTCATTGTCTCGGATAATCAGCAGTCATCTACTGGATATCCAATGGATACTTGAATCAAGAATGATTCACTTACCCCTACCCATTCTTGTCGAGACTCTATAAACTCAGCAGTTTCCTCATCATCCAACCCCACTCTCAAAACAAACACATTCCCACAGATCTTGCTCACAACCTACCATGGCCTTCAACAATGCTCAGCTCCGCCCTGTTGTGGTGTTCAAAAATCAAGGCTTTCGCAACGCCATAGTGTACTCAAGGTACCTTCGTTGCTTCCGTGATCGTCCCATCTACCCATCCTTTACCATCTCTCCTTCAGCCTTTTCCAAATACGACATGGACATTCCCTCCCTGGTTGCTGGACTAGGGTGGGAATCATTGACTGAAGATCAACGGTTTCTCCACTGTCCTGAGGCAGTAAGGCTTTTCTATGTCAATATTCATCGTGACAGTGGACCTGAGCCACAGTCTTTCACAACCATGGTCTATGACCATGAAATCACTGTCACTCCTGCCTTACTGGCATCGGTTCTCTCTCTACCTCACTCTGGGATTCTTGCCAGTTTCGAGAGTGACTTTGTTGAACATGGGTTCGACTTCCTTGCTGCTCTTGACCATGTAACACGGGACACTGGCAAGGTCTTCCCCACTCGACTCTCAGCTGGTCGACTTCCTGACGATCTAAAGGTCCTTCATTTCTTCATCACCCGATGCTTCCTTCCACGAGACGTTACTAGTGCTGGTCTTCTCCACTCTGACGATCTCTGGATTTTGAGTAATGCTTGTGCTCATCAACCTATCAGTTATGCATCCTTGATGTTCGCTCATATACTCAAGTTCGGTGGTGGTGGCTACAGTGGTGCTCTACCTTTTGGACCTCTCATCACTCGTTAGTTGCATCGCCTAGGCATAGATCTCCGGGACAAGGTGGCTGTTTGCAACATCCATGATGATTTGCGTCCCAATCATGTTCTGGTTCGCCTTGATGCCGACGTTGGCCGCCGTAAGCTCGTCTCTGGCTCAGGGGGAGACACAGCTCACTGCCCCATTTTCTCTCCTGCTGATCCCATCTCTGATAGTCTACTTCCAACCCTAACTCAAGCTGCTGTCACAGCCATAGATGGTGAAGTCAAACGAAGAAGGGAAACTGGTAGTGGAAAAACTACCAGTCTTTTGGTATGCAAAGAACGTTTGGAACTCATGGATTTTGATGAAGCAAGGCCTGCTCCAGACGACTTTGATCAAATTACTCCTTACTCAAGCTCTGATGATGAGATATCAGACTATGAGTCACCTCCTGGTTATCCCTTCTAGAGAATCGATGGTGGTACTTAGGGGGAGTCACAAGTTATGACTAGGGAAGTCGTGTAGTTCGTTTGAGTCTGTATTTGAATGGTGTCAGTGTCAAGTTGGTTTTCCAGTTGTTTGATTGTTGATTTGAATTTCGAGACTTGTATTTCTGTTGAACTGATTAATCAGAAATAAAAACTTCCCTTGTCATTCTTGCCAGCACTTTGCCTAGAACAGACTGCACCAATAGTTTGCTGAGTGTGTGCAGGAAAGAAACTAGTGCAGTAGGGAGAGCCATTGACAAGCTTAGGGGGAGCATGTTAAGGGAAGCTCGTCAATAGGGAAAGAATCAACAAATCAAATCAAGACCAAGATGGAAAGTCTCAAAGAAGGAAACCTGGAGCTAAATTACAGCGATTCAAACCTCAATCAGACAACGACTATCTTGAAGAGAGCAAACTATATAACCACGAGGTTGAGCAATGTAGAAGATAAGAGTTTTCCGGCAAATCAAAAGAACTGAGTGTTGAGTGAAAAGTGGTGAACTTTTGATAGAAAACTCGGTTAGCTAATCGGAGAGAATAGCTAGTGAATCTGAGTGAACAATCAGGGAGATTAGAACTCAGCTTTGAAGTTAGGTTGATTGGCAGGGAGCTGATCATCCTGAACTGTGTAATCACGATCAAGGAAACGGTCTAGTAGATTCGTAGGAATCCTCAAGAGGAGAGATTCCTACCGTGGATTAGTCGATATTGGGATCCTTCTTCTCCCAATATCGGATACCACGTAAAAAGTGTTGTGCTGTGCTTGTGTTCTTCATTTTCGAGCTTTGGTTTATACTCTGCTTGTGTGTTTGATCACTGTGTTCAGATACAGGGGAGTCTTCGAAGCAGGGAGGGTTTTGTAGGAACTCGATTTCTTCAGTTCAAGCAGATAAAGAGGTAGTAGGTCTCGCGCTCGACCCACTCACAGAAATATGGATTCTGGCTCGTTGAGGTCGAAGTGAAAGGGTCGGACTGGATCAAATAGAGGAACAAGAGGAAGAATTGGGTCAGGGTTGGGTTGGAGTGGGTTGATGACGTGGCAGATCAGATATAACTTTTTTTGGATTAAAATAGGCTGATAAGGCGATTCTGTTAGCCATGTCAGCGAAAAACTAACGCTGCTAACGGAGGCTAACAGAGAGTGACCAAATTTGAACTGTTTTACTAAATCTAGTGACCATAAACGGAATTAAATATTTCCAGTGACCAAACATGAACGTTTTTTTTAATCTCAGTGACCACTCATGCAATTTACACTTTTTTAAACCGTGTTTGGCTTTAGTAATGCTTTATAATCTATTAAGTTGCAACACTTCTGTACTTGTCTCAATCTCTCTGGTTTTGTCAGTGAAACATGCAGCCATCTTTAACCCGACAATAGATTCTATCACTCACACAAACATACCTACTGTCATTATATGAACCAAAACCAGCGAAACAAAAACTGACTAATACAATTATTTTTTCATAAATAACCAGGACGAGTTTTCATATTATGAAAGAAATGTAAAATGCATTCATTGTTTACACCATAATATCATGATAATACCTAACGAGCTATTGTGAAATGATAGTCTCATGAATGAAACCAATAATTTAATTATTTTTTGTGAATTAATGAGTTTTGTTAGAATGTTAAAATATTCTTATGTTACTTGTAAGTGTTTAATTCGATCTGTACAAATATATGTGAGGTTATTTTTTTCCTTTTTTCCCTCTCCAAAAGTTATCCCTGTCCCGGATAGGGGCAAACACCCCTGCCTCCGCCTATGACCAAAACAACCAAACAGTGCAGAAATCAGCACTTTATATATACACTCATCATTGTATACTTTTATATACGCAATACATACAAAATAATCAGAAGCATAGTTGCTTCTCAACAACCACACTAATACGTACAGAAACTTCAGTGCAGCAGCCTATTCTCAGTTCAATTCCAACAAAAACAATGGAATCCAACCGTTTATGTCTCCCTCTCTGTTCACTTGAGCAAAATGAATGAACCTACTAATTGCACTTTAGCTAGCTAGCTGCAAAGCTTCTCTGCTAATTTCCACACACTGACCACGCCACTTGCATCCCCTGTGAAGAACAATCCCCCCTGACCTGCCCGGATTGCTCTCACTTCTTTCTCAGCATATATCCTCCCTCTCTCTTTCAACGATGGGAGTTCGTACAAACCCACAGAATTGTCACTCCACGAGCAAAACAGGATTGGTTTTCCATCTGAATCATTCACACCACCAAGAGTCAGTGCAGCATGCCCCTCTTCATGTGTGTATAAGAGGATTATCTCGGAACTGTCGCCTTCAATTCGACCCCAGAACTTCACCTTCTTATCCAGCGAGCAAGACACTAAGTACTGATCCCAACAGATCACAGACGTTACATCGTCATCGTGCGCCTTCAGTGTCTGAATGCACTCACCAGTGTTCAAATCCCACTCCTTGATCGTCCCATCCTTGGAACCAGAGTACAATCTACGCAATTCTCCATTTATGCTAGCTCTCAGGCAAGTAACAGCACTGGCATGGCCTCTCAGGGGAGTAGCATACTGGAATCGATTAGCTATCTGATGGTCAGTGAATCCTTTCCAAACCGAAATTCCACCATCTTCATCTCCAGCATACAAGGCATCCAACCCAACTTCCAAGGCATTCACTTGACCACTCGAACCAGTGAGGTCATAATAAACCTCTGACTTAAAGTTCCATGCTTTAACACCATTAGGGAAACCAACAAAGACCCATTCCTCATCGCTTATCAGACACCCAATCTGATCACTAACATTCACAGCCCCAGAAATCAGACCACTATGGCAATCCCAAGCACATACCTTTCCATCGCTGCTAGCTGTGTAGAGCTTATCAGACCCCGAAGGAAGCCCGATACCTGAAACAGGCTTCCCAACATGCCCTTCTAGTCTTGCTAACAACGAAAATCCATCACCACGGGACCAAGAATGTAGGAATTGACAGCTATCCCCTCTCCCACAACTTCCAGACATCCATTCTTGGCAACAAGCCTTGTCTTCACTTCTTTCAACAGTAGTGGTGGTGACTAGCAGAGAAGCTTCTGGTTTCTGAGCACTCTCAATTTTTTGGCAGTTATTTCGGCTCTTCTGTGAGACAGCAGCAGATGTTACCTGAGTGGATTTGGATCTTTTGACAGCTCTATCTTCTTCTGGAGGTGAGAGGGTCTTCCTTCTCAGGCCACCGGGTAAAGCTTGGGATTGTGTTTGAGGCGCGCGGTACACATAAGAAGCACGCAGATCCGCAGTAGCCAGGTCTCCGTGCACGAACCTACAAGGGTTTCTATTACACCTCCCCTGCTTCCAGTAGATACAAACTTTGCGGCTCTTCATATGCATTGCTCCTACCCCATCTCGTGCAGTATGGATCGCCATTTCTTAAAAGCTGAAAAAATAAGATACTGTAAGCCCGCTGTAGCCTAAGGGGGAAAAAAACCCTAAATGTTGAAATCCGGACCGATTGCGATAGAAATTCCCCTTTTCCCCGCCATGAATTGAAAAAATAACGACAATGCAGACAGAATAAACGAACCTGAAGCAAAACCCAGATTCCGATCCGGCTTCTGAAACCCTAGCGATCGGGAAACAACAACGCGTTCTGAAACTTCGAGCAGTCAGAGATCTTCCACGGAGCGCAGGAGTAGGAGAAGACAGGTTCAGACTTGAGACTGAAAATGGGTATGGAAACCCTAAGATTTGCCGAGAGAAATGGTGAGACGAGTGAAGGGAGATTGAAAAGGGAAAACGGGAAGTGAAGCAGAGAAGAAGAAAGTTTTTCCGTTGGGTTGAAGGAAATGAAGCTTCCCGCAAGTGCTAATGTCTATTTGTAGTATCGATCGGAAGGTCGGTCGGTTTGCTGCCGGAAGCGTTGATTTGCCGCAAAGCCGACAACGGTCGAGTTGAGTTTTGAGTCTGAGAAGAGAATTGGCGCTAAAATTTCCAATGGAAACCGCGTTTTATTCTATAGGCTGCTTTTGTTGGGCTTAGGTTTTTCCCCTTGGGCCTGGTCATTTCATTTTGCTTTTTGGGCTGGGGTTGCACCTCGATTAATTGACTTTGCTCAACCTGGCCCGTATGTTTCTCTAATTGAGTTCTTCCAACTTCCAACGTTGTCGTGATCGTGACTTCATCTATCATCACTCCCTACATAATTTTTTGTGAGATTTTGCAATTCAAACCCTCATCACTCAATAGTTTTATTATTAAATAAATACATTTTTACCAACAAATCTACTAATTATATTTATCAATACTTATTTGTTGTTTATTGAATCGTAAGATTTTTTATTTTGATTTTTTGTGAGATATGCTAATGTTGATCATCATTCAAAAAACACGAAGTCATTACGCATTGCACGGTTTAAGTTCACATTCATGTTAACCGGAAAAGAAAGTAAAAAAGTACATAAACATAGTAAAAAAAAGTAATTTGTATACTTAATTCATATGTAATTTTGAACTTCGGGTTCCTATAAAAAATTGTAATTTTGAATAAGATAAAATATGTAGAAGAAGAAGCTAAAGACCAAACTCAACATGAAAAGGTAGAAAAGGGTATCCGTTCCAGATTTGGTGATAGGGAAGCTTTAGTATTGTGCCTTGGCTTTAGAAACGCTAGGTTAGTCTCTATGAAAGTTGTCAAATCGGTTTGTATCGGTTTGGCAATTGGAATGGTACGACCAGTGGTACAATCGGTTTGTGTCGATTTACGTTGATTTAACAAAATTTGTGAAAATGTGAAAATCATTAACATTTAATAAATTTAATCATATACTAAACATATTTGAGGACAATTTACTTACAGTTCAACAAATAACATCAACTTTTGACTTTTAAATTCATGAAATAAATAAGAAATCCATTTTCTTATTAATTAAATTCACTAAAATGATATCACTTTGCTTAGCATTTGATCATGTCAATTATAATGGTAGTGTTCATGTTGGTTTCATGACAAGCACCGATTGAACCAGGTTTAACTAGACGGCATGCCACCAAAATAGCAAGCATGCTCTACACCTTCGCCCCGAGATGTATGATTACTCTGTGCCTCAACTCTAGGTCTTGCCCATGCCTTGTCTCGAAATTTTGGAGGCTCGGTTTCAAAAACTAAATACAGGCCTTGAAATTCTGAAAATTCATGTAAATTATGTAAATCAGTTTTAGTACAAGCCTGAAACTAAACATATTAGTTCATAGTCTAATGAGCTAAGGCTCCAAATTTTATGAGGCCCGAGTATCAAATTTTCTAGAAGTCAAAGAAAAACACAAAGCATGATTGGATCCATGCCTTATAGGATGGCAATGGGTCGGATTGGGGCGGGTTTTGTCAAACCCAAACCCATGGGGTTTTTTTTTATAAGGGTGATATAGGTTTTTTTTGTGTGATTAATGTACTACTTAAGGGATTCGAACCTGGAACCTCCAGGTTCTAGGCTAGTGGTATTACCACTAGACCAAGCGCTTGTTCGTCAAACCCATGGGTTTATCCGCCAAAAAAACCCGGGGTAAAACCCGTTGGGTTTGAAAAACTCAAACCCAACCCAACCTGCCGGGTATCCGCGGGTTCATGAGTACCCGTGGGTTTTTGTGGTAAAAAATTTATAATAACATGTTTCTTTCAAAATAAAAGTTTAACATCAATTTTCTCATACAAATTATTCATAAAAAAAAATACCAATATAGAGAATACAAGCAAACCACAAATGATCAATACAAATTGTTCATAATTAAAGATAAACATCTATAAACAATAAGATTAATTAAAAGCTTCTTCCTCATCAACTAAGTTTCTTCACTCTCCACTTCATAATATCAACTTCATTCTAAACAATTAGAAAGAACAAATTATACATGTTTCCACAAACATAAATCAAATTAGTTGTTTAAGAAAGATATATTATCTACAAAATATATTAAGGGGTTTCTCAAAACCACCTTCCCCATTCAAATTTTCTCGTGCTCTCCGCAATTTTTCGGGTTTTCCCTTAATTTTTTTTTCTCAAAACTTTCTTCTACAACATTTATCCATATTAATCCCTTTTTTTTTCACACACGTTTTACTTTTATTCCCGTCCCCTTTTAACTAAAATATTCTGGAAAAACAAAATTGTAAAGGGGGTCTCCACGTAAGTTTTGGAGAATTCTCCGCAGGTTTATATTTTTTTATACTTTTTGTTGTTATCCATTGACTTATATTATCCCCTACTAAATAGCAATTTATCTTCCAACCAACAATTTTGTATGTGTCAAACTTCAAATTTTTCTTAACTTTTTTCTCAAGATGTGGGCAAGTTCAGTTTGGAAAAAAGAAAACGTGCAAGTTTCTATTGTTGTACAATTAAACTTCATTATGTTAATAACAGTTTTTAAATTCGAACCACGAAATAATATCTCACAACCACTAATTTATATTAAGGATTGTAAAAACATTTGGGTTGGATTGAAAAATCAACGGTAGAGTGTATGTATTAATCATGGTTCAACTTATTTCATAATATTAAAACTACTTGCTGATTTAGAATTTGATAGAAGGATTTTTTGGCGAGTCGCCTACATGGTACGATTTTAGACACTAATTTATCACCGAAAGAAAATATAAGCATCTGAAATTCATAGCTTATATTATTCAAAATGATGGATTTGGTTCTCTTCCATCATAAAAAATTCGATTTCAGTATCTTGATAGATGTTAGTTGAAACATCTATTATTGATTTTTGTACATTGTATAATAAAATAATCAATTTGAATATTTAGTTGACAAATCATTACATAAGAAGCTAAATTGAAACTTTTTTTTCACAATATTTAGATTGAAACTTGATATCCTCAAATAGTATTGCACTTCTTTTTCATCATCCTCAAAATAAGATGAACATGTACAAAAGGTAGACTTAATCGCAAGCCAATATTCATCGAATAGAATTTGATTGTCTAACTTCTAAATGTGTATTGTTTAAATCAAATACTAAAAAATTATAGATTAAATGCTAATTGCTTAGTTTTTTAAATAAACTGTTACTTAGTTACGATCTCATAAACATATAAGAAGAGACCACAAATGTGTTCTTGAAAATGATTATTAAAAAACGTAAATGACTTAAAAACTTAAAATAATTAAATATAATGATGAATTATTTGATTAAGACGTAAAATTTACCCGGCCTGTTGGTCGGGGATAAAGCTAGTTTAGAATATTAAATATGTCGGGAAAGTAATTATATGTGTGTGGGCGGGTACCCATGGGGCGGGTTTACCTAAACCCAAACCCAACCCGACCCGGTGAATAGTGTAGCGAGTTTAAACCCGAACCCGGTCCAAAACCCGTCAACACGGGTTTTACCCACATTGACCGGGTTGGGTCGGGTGGGTACCCGTGGGTTCGGGTTTTGTTGCCATCCCTAAATTTATTGCCTTAGCTCTAATCTGTTGCCCGTAAAATGAAATTTTGAGTCTTCGTCGCTTGTCGTTACACGCAGTAACGTGAGAAAGTTAAAAATCATTTTCTCGTTCCCCTCTTCTCATCTCATTCTCAATCTATTTTTTTAATCCCTGATTCTTCTCTATCCCCAAATCCCCTCGATTATACATTGTGATCAATTCCTAATCGAGATGCTCGATAACAAGATTTTATTGGAATCTTGGTCATCATTAATGATGACATAACTCACGAGTCTATCAATTGTTTCCAAACTATCTGCAAATAGAATAACAAATGAGCAAATAGTGATAGCCAACATTATCATAACTCACAAGTACTAAAGTGTCTATGTGAAAGCAAACAATGAAAGGTTATCAACCTACCTGAAATCTGTATATCCTAGAAAACTTGGCTTTGCGCAACTGTATGCAGGAATGTGTGCGGCGTCAGTTCAGCAATGTGATTATTGGAGGTGATGCAAAGGTTGTAATTGATAAATACCGTAACAAGGATACTTCAGACTCCAAGATAGGAGCTCTACTACAAGAGATTCTATCGCTGCTATGAGATCTTGGGGACTCAAAGGTGCTTTTCGTAAGTCGTAACTTCAACAGGGTGCCTCATTTCGTGGCCCGACGTGCTCTATGTTTATCGCTCCGCTTTCAAAGGGGGTTTGATTATGTAGCTTGGTACAATAGCAAATAGTTTCATTGTAAACTTGGATCGGTTCTGTATCCTCTTTTTATGAGTGATCGTTTGGCAAACAAAACAAAAAAACCTACTTGAAATCATTGAATTGAGCAACCAATTTTGAGCACACATAAGAACATCAACAATTTAGAGGTTGAGACGTCTGGGTCGATGAGTTATGGGTATACGAGTATAGATGGATATCCATGAGTTGGATATACCTAAACTCAAACCCAAACCGTTGAACAGTACAACGAGTTTCAATCCAAACCCGACTCCTAATCCATCACCACTGATTTTACCCACTTTGACTAGATTGAATATGCTAGGATCCTCGTGGATCCGGATTTTGTTCTCATCCCGTGCTGAGCAGAACAAACGCAACCAAAAACAGAGAAGAGGCCCTGCCCTGAAACGGCGTTGGACGGTACGAGTTCCCCTTCGCAGTTTTTCCCCTCTAACCGCCATTTAGCAGTTGATGAAGAAGCGAAACGCCCTTATGTTCCGGTTACCACCTCTGCTGCAGAGTGTTTTCAGGATATAAATTCTCCTTTCCTCTGCCTCTTCGTTGGTTCTCAATCTCAATTTGAGCAGCTTCCGTTTTAGTTTCTTCTCTTCAGCCAGACATCCAAAGGGATCAACAAAGAGACTGCCCTTGCTCTGGCTTCCTTTCACATGCTAACTAACCGGAGCTTCTGTTTTCCCCTTCCGAGGTTCGCCCATGGCTATAAATTTCCCTTTCTTGTAACCGTTCTTCTTGTTCTAGATATTTAAATTGGACCAGTGGCTGGATAAGGATGCGCGTTCTTTTGTGGGGGGTTTTAGCTGTTAGCTGTGAACGTTAGCCATTTCCACATTGTGATTGCTTTTCACTAATTGGTTTTCTTTGCATTGATTCCTTTGTGCAGAACAGACTCTCGTTGTTCCAATAGGCAAACCACTCCTGGGGCTTCTGCATTCCCACTCTTTCTCAGTGCCTTTTTGAGGTCGGAGTGATTGGTCTAACAATGGCTACGAATATGGTCTCGCGGGCCTCTTTCATTCAATCCAAACCCTCCCTCTCCTTCAAAACCGTGCACAACCATCATCTCCCTCAGCCCTCTGTGCCAACAAGTGAAGTCCTTTTCTTCCTTTGCTTTCTTGTTTCTTCTTTTGCTACATTCAAATTTCTTGGCATTTGTTGTTTATGGCATTTCTTTCTTTTTTTGCTTTTATAGATGTGGCTTTTATGGCCACCAAGGGAAATGGGTTGGCCATCAGATGTTCGGTGGCGGTCCCTAAAGCCGCTTCAAGTTTTGGGGATTCCAGGAGGAAGGGGACCAAAAGCCCTGTGGTTGTCATTGACAATTATGACAGTTTCACTTATAATCTCTGCCAGGTTTAACACTTTTTCTCTTTGGGTTGCTGAATTAAGATAATGAAACTTGCTGGTTTTCAGTTTGCTTGAGTTTTGGCTACTGATCTGTTTGTGGGTTGCGGGTTGATATCTTCTTTAATCATTTAGATTGAATGAAAGCCTTGAATATTGGATAGTGTTTGTATGTGGGGGAAAGATTCTCAAAACTCATAAGAAACTTAGAGCCACTTGATCTGTGTAATAGCCATCTTTGGGTTAAATTGAAAGAAAATTCCTTTTCTTCACAAGGGCTCTGATTTGTCCAGTACCAATAGATGGTTAATGTGCTTTGGTTTGGAGAGCTGGGATGCGAATTCGATCTGTGGATATTCGTGCTAGGATGCAAACTCATATTCTTGCTCGTTCCTATTTCCCCTGTACTTTTCTACACTGGGTATTTTACCTGTGCTAATCCCATGTAAACTGTCTTGTCCTAAAGTACATGGGAGAGCTGGGATGCGAATTCGAGGTTTACCGGAATGATGAGTTAACTGTGGAAGAGTTGAAAAGGTATCCATCTTATGTTCTAATATGATCAAATATCTTATGAGGTGTATATTTTATATGATTTTTGACATGTGTAACATTTTCTGGCTTTTAACAGGAAAAATCCTAGAGGAGTGCTGATATCCCCAGGACCAGGTCAGTCTGCTGCACAAGTGGAAAGGGCCAACTTTATTGTACATTGTTACGAATACAACAAACTGAAAAGGGAAATTTTAAGTACTTCACTGATTTGCAATTCTCTCTGTAGGAGCCCCCAAGGATTCTGGAATATCTTTGCAGACAGTTTTGGAGCTTGGGCCAATCGTACCCTTGTTTGGTGTGTGTATGGGTTTACAGTGCATTGGCGAGGCATTTGGTGGTGAGTGTTCTTGAGCATTCTGAACTGCTACTGCCACTTTACTGTTATTTTCTTGATGGTACAGTTCATGAATGTAAATGAGCACTTTGTTCTCATACTATGCTTCATTAAATGGATAATTTGTTATGTTTTCAGGGAAGATTGTGCGTTCTCCTCTCGGGGTTATGCATGGGAAAAGTTCACTGGTGTACTATGACGAAAAAGGCAAAGGCTTGTTTACTGGGTTGCCAAAGTATGTAACTTTACCACTAAACACGTTCATACATTTGTTTGCTTGGTTCCTCTCCTGTTCTTTGCCAAGCTAACCTCCCGTTCTTTTTGTCTTGTTGAGAGCTTTTATGGATTTACTACATCTTGTCTGTATGTTCTAATCTCCTTGTACTATGAAAATGTTTATGGTTCTACATCAAACTTGACACCTATATGTATAACTATCAAAATATTTTTTGTCCAATGTGGCGCATGTTGTGTTACTTTCCAGTTTCTTCTCCACTATATGAAAACTTTTTAAGTATAGAACCGTTCTGTTGTGGTGGCTTTCAATGATCTGTTGAAGAGATGCACCACCTTACATGTTTGTTTTCATGTGGATTTTCTGCAGCCCATTCAAAGCAGGTAGATATCACAGCCTAGTTATTGACAGGGATATGTTCCCGATTGATGAACTTGAGATCACAGCGTGGACCAAGGATGGTTTGATCATGGCTGCCCGTCACAAAAAGCACAAGTATCTGCAGGTAAGGTTTTCTTCTTCAATCACACTATTATGCCTGGCCTTCACCTTGAGCTTGCTTTGTGGCCCAGTGGGTTAGGCCAGCAACCTTGTCTTAGTCGTTCAAGCAATTATAAAAACCTGGGCGGATTCCAATTGTATTTCTGAATGCCTTAGGAATCTGAAAACAAACCAGAAATTCTTAAACAACATAAAAATGGTGTTCTGTTGGTAGCTTCAAAATATTTACCTCTTCTGATTGCTTGAAATCAGTTTAGTTTAGGCCCCATACAGATTCACTCAGAACAAAATCTTCTTCTTTTCTCCCCATAACTTCAAGCCAACATTTTTGTCTCTTTTGTGGGTGGAAATGTTGCAGGGTGTGCAGTTTCATCCGGAGAGCATCATAACCTCAGAAGGGAAGATCATCGTTCGGAATTTTCTCAAGATGATAGAGGAGAACGAGGAGGTGAGTCAACGAACTAGTGTTGCATTGCGATAGCCATATGCTGAAGCAAAGAAATGTAGTGGGAGGGAGGCACAGATTAGGGAAATGCCCGAGTCGCTGGAGAAGCTTTTTGTTGTTCTAGTTGATAGTGGACACCTATTTTTTGGTTTAGTTTAGAACTAGTTTTCTGTTTAGATGAATGAGACCTATGTTTAGATTGGTCTGGTTAGTGTTCAAAGCTAAGCTTTGCTCCAGCAACCAGAATAAATCAAAACATTCTTTCTGCGCCCAGTTGGAAAGAATTGATCATAATGATGATGGTGGATTGGATTTTTTGAAACTGAATTGCTGCGTTCCAGTTCAGAACGAACTGTCAATGGCAGCTGGTCTGGCGATGATAACAAAAATACCAGAGAGAGCGACTCTCAGCTTTGTAGTACTGAGTCATGAGTTGCTGCAGTTTCCTGCACCATTGCCTCAACTGGGCTCAAAAGGCAAATTGAGCAACACATGATGATAGAGGTCCAAAAATGGGCCGAAAGGGAAGTGTCACATTATCCCTTTTTCCCCCCCAACCACATGAATTTCCTCACACAATGAAATGGAATGAAGGAGAGCCCACTGCCTTTGGTAATCAAGTTGTGGCAGTCGCAATGATGCTGAGTTGGCCTTTGTTTCGCATGCAACTGCAAATCCAAATGCCACCCAATTTCTGTTCTATTCTTCTCCAGCTGTGACACACAATACCAGCCATTTTTACTGCTCACTTTTTCATCCCTCTGGTGGAAAATTGCAAGGTTAATTTGGCTACAAGGTGATGGCAATTATTCATTCATGGGTAATTCTACTCGTATCTAAGTTAATCTGTTGATTAGACAGAGGGTAAGCATGAAGTACATATGAGTTTGAGTGTTTGTTGGGTGGGCTTGAGTAGGATCGATGTGAGGGTCGTTTCCATATATATAAATGTGATACTTTTAACTAGAGAGAAATTTTACAATGCTATATAGTATTGGTGCTATAGGATTTTGCATTTGTGGTACAACTTAAAATTGTACATTTATGTTATGGTACAACTTCATATTGTACTTATACTTTTTGTACAAATTCTTTTATGGTACAACTTGAACTTGTACCTTTATTTGATGGTACAACTTCAACTTGTAAAGTTGTACCATAACATAATGGTACAACCTAAACTTATACATTTAATGTTATGTTACAACTTTAAGTTGTACATTAAAGCACCAATACTATATAGCATAGTAGAAGTGCTCTTAACTAGACTTAAAAACTGGTCATCAGGACATGTTTGTAAAATTTTAAAATTCTAGATATTATTAATTTAAGTAAATATTAAGTACTATAATATTATTTTCATCGATTTTTTGGACTTATTTGTAAAAAAAAAAATTTAAGCTTAAGAATTAAATGACAAAATTAAATCATGTTAATTAGTTTGGTTAATGTTGAAATGATTATGACTAAAGTTTTGTGACTAATGTGCTTTTAAAAAGTCGGCAATGCAATGGTCATCTGGCTGGCTAGATTGATGGTACTGATCAACACGCAAATCCATATCCATTAATTAATTAATTATCATATCCTGCTTTCTAATAAAAACAACCACCACTCCCCTATCCGTCAAATTAATGCAACATCTGACTTTAACACTCACTAATTAACCCTTTTATTGTACATTTTTTTTTTGGGTAGAAAACATATATTTTTAAAAAATAGGTAGCATCTATCAGAATTTGACAGCTCCACCATTTGTGACAATACAAGCCAGTATCAGAATTTGTTGATGATGAGTAACCTGGGGGGTAGGAGTCCATGCTGGGATATGAAAATGAAAGAGGGAAAAGGGACGAAGGGTAGGAGCAAAGAGAGCTCAAGCAATGAGATTTAAAAAACTGGTGGTTCGCAATAATTCGAATTGTTGGAAGATGCTTAATAGGAAATCTTATATACATATTAGCACGTCTCTTTAAAAGAAAGCTAGTCATTGTAATTTGAAGTTTGCACAAGTTCAAATAAAATGTGTTTAACAAATGGGGTCATGGAAAATTGGGAATTCAAACACAAGACCTCTCGATCATAGAAGGCTATGATATCATTTCAACGATGAAAACCAAACCAAAAAATAAAATTTCAAATTGTACAAGATGAAAGATTTCTCATGGGAGATAAATACATTGGGGGAAAGCAAGGTTGTCAAGCCGCGGGTCGACCCGGACCCGGTCGAGCTAGTGGGTCAAGGGTTAATGCTTAATGGGTCATCCGTTTTAGCCCGGTTTAGCCCAAAAATATGAACAACTCATTATATTGTACTTATTTTGAATACAACATAAAAAAACAACCGTACTTAAACTCCAACACACTTAAATAACATCAACTTAAATTCAACATATTACAAATTCAACGACACTTTGGAACGAACAGCCCGCAGACCCGCTCGGACGGGCCAACCGCCCAGGTTTTCCCGGATTTTTCCGAGCTTGACCATTTCCAGGCTAACTCTCACATGGACTATTTTAACCCGTTTTTAAAACCGAATCCGAGCCAACCCGAATCAATCCACGAGTTGACAACCCGGGAAAGGAACATGCTTGAAAATGGCCAACCTGCAAAATAGTACCATTTAGATACCCATGACCCAAATAATACAAGGCTGCCCTCCACCACCTTCTCCCTTTTGCCTATAAAGGAAATGATATTTAGGCTCCCTTCAATGGGCCATCAATGGTTTTTGCCAATCTCTTTTAAATTGATTCCGATGTAGTAGTTGACTTTAATTCATACTTCTATTAATTTGGTACCAGCAGAGCACCAAAGATAAGAGACAGGACAAAGGCAATGACTTTAGTTCACACTACTTAATTCAGGTCGATGAATCCAATTGAGTTGCCAACTCATAATTTCCAACGATAAGTGCTTTACTTTTCACTCATTTTTATCTTATTTGGTTTGAATCGGCTAAAATACAGTCCACTCAATATACGATAGGGTTCAAACTGAACGTAACAACGTAGAGTAAAAGAGTTCAAATATGACGAATCAACTTAGTCCCAGAAAACCATATGACAATGGTGACTGAATGGCTTCACGTTTGCCTCATTCAAGAAATTTAAACAAATTGATCTCTCGCAATAGAGCAATTTTATAAGCACATAAACTGTCAATTTCTTAGGAAGGTTAAATTTACTCAACATTTTCATACTTTACACTCCTCAGTCTTCAACCTCTCTTCTCCCAAAAATTTCCAATAGTGTTTTTATCTCGAATTCTTTTTTATACGAAATATTTTTTTTATCTCGTACATATAAAATTTCGGTGTACTGTATTTGTCAATATTATCCAGCACCTAGCACTGCCAAAACACAATCAATTAAGTACTACACTACTGTAGATATGCATATCATTCATTTTGGCCTTTCATCATTTGGCACCATCTGTAGTTGTTGTATTATTACCCAACTAACCCCATTTTCCATAACCCTTTTGCCTTCTCAACTTGATACATAATTACATACATTATACATACAACCCCTCTCCTCCCAAACAAATTTCACATATATAATATAACAGAATCTAATTATTTTTCAATAAAAATAATAATATCAGACAGACAACTCTGCAGTAGAGGACCCAACATCTGCTTTCTGAACTAACTGGTTCCCCCATCCTCAAAACTTCTTTTAAGAAAGAATTATAGAGCATGTTGTGGAGACATGCTTCTGTTCCTAAGTTTGGTCTCTGCCAAACCTCATTTAACTCAATAATAATAATAATAATAATAATAACCCAGAACCCAACCCTCTAAATACATAGATTAATCAACCACTAAACCAAAAAGATTCTCCCTTCCCTTCATCCCAAGAAGATTACCCTTTCTTTACATACAGACTACAGAGCAACCTAACCCAATTAGTGATCAGGAAATACACATAATAATAAAAGCACAAAACTTTGGGAAATAAATAAACTAATAATGCTATAAACCTTTTTTTATTCATTCATCACAAGTCACAACCTCTCCCAACGGGCAAAAGAGTGTGTTCATGGGGATACATTGAAAAATGACAAACAACCATCACCATATTCAATTTCCCCACCAAACAAAAAGCCAATGCCACAGAAAATAAATTGGACCAACAGAAGAAGAAAAACAGAAGATTAAAACTATGAATCTATACACATAACCCATATACTTTTATAATAATATGAAAAACCATGAATACACCCATCACTCCCTCACCAGTCACCACCACCACCACCACCACCACAAACCACTCTCTTAAGAATCTATGCTCTTTCTTTCATCTTTCTATTCACAAAAATAACAATAGTATGAAGAACCAACAGAATCAAACACCAAAAATCCCCCCCTTCCCCACCACCACCCATCCACATTCATGCATGTACCACCAAGACATACATTCCATTATTCCATTCTGGGCAAAACATGCTTCATTGATTGTATTCTCACATAGAAATGGCCTCACCATTGACTGCTGCTGCTCGCTGGTTCCTCCGGTGCCTCCTCCCATGGTGGCGGGGCCTACCTCCACCGAAAGTGACAGGATCGAACGACTTGAGCCGCTGTGCTTCTTGCGGGCTGATCACACATTCGGACAGTGGGGTCTTGTATCGAACACGGTCGTAGCAGTAGGAGTATGTCATGTACTTGGTCCTGAACCTGTCCATCTTGGTCCTCTGCGACCCGGAGATTGCTTCGGCTTTCGATAGCGTGGTGTAGGAGGCGTCGCACGTTGATGTGGAGTGATCTGTGGGGTCGGCGGCGCAGCCATGGAGGGCGAAGTCGGAGAACTCGGTGGTGTAAGGCGCGTAGTTGTAGTTCACCCTGTACTTCCCTCCATTGGTGGCCCAGTCCGATCCATCCCATATCGTCGCGTATAGAGACATCGGTTTCGATGGGAAATCTCCACCCATTGTTGGGGTTCTTACCACTTCTCTGATCGGAACATCATCGACGTAGAATCTGCAGTAAGAAAAGCCATTTCATGAAAAAAAATGTACTTCAAAGACTGGGCAGTGGTACTAGTTACTAACAGAACTTTCACTGTCAATATCCCCACCCCCCACAAAAATGCATACCATGTTCTGTATGTTGGACTGTTTTAACAAAAGCTTGCACAAAAGAGGATCTTGCGTGCAGTGCAGTCTAAATGTATAATTCAAAACTTGTAGACGGGTAACTTTCCTATTCCTTTTCTCAGGAAACAAACAGAAGACACGGAACTTATCAGACTTGCTAGTAACAGGAAATTTATAGTTGATGAGTGTGTATGTTTGTGCTAGTTTCTTAACAATGAAAAAATGGTAAAAAGTAAAACTTTTACCCCTTCTCCACTACACAATCAACATCACAAACCAAAGGAAAGTTAAAGATAATCATCATCATTAAAACCCATGAAAACCAGTCATTAGGTGAGAAATTGAACACAGGACAACAGGCAAGGGCTCTCACATGATGTGGGAATCAGTCCAGAGAATGGAGTAGCGATGGAAGTCATCGGCAGGATCAAACCAAAGGCTGTATCTCTCTTCTCTGCCAAGGGCCGTGCTTCCATTCCCGTAGATATTTGTTTGTATCCTCCAATCTTTACCCCTAATATTCCCCAAGAACTCGAAGTCAATCTCATCATGGTTCTTCTCGTATGTATCGCCATTGGACATCTGTCATACACATAATCGGGCAAGGATTAGAATTTTAGAATTCGTTATCCAAGTTTCAAACCCCGTTTTCCGGTTTCTGTTAACAAACAAAAAAAAAAGAGACCAAATTTTTGCAATCCAAAAGGTCGGTTATAATCCTTGTCCGTTTCACGTTCAATCAAAACCGAAAACCCCCAAAAACCCTGCTGCAGAATCGGTTATAACAAGTCAATGGATAGAGTAAATGGAGGATAAGGGTGGCTGAGGAGGAAACTCACATAGAAAGCAACCACAACTCCAGCAGTGTAATCTGCAGGGAGCTTAATGGAAGCACTGAAGTAGCCGTGTAAGTAAAGGTCCTGCGAAACGAATCCAGACCCTGCTCCAACAAACCACACAGACGAATAAATAAAACTTCAGTCAGGCAATAACACAAATACGATAGCTGCATAAGGGAAAACAGAGCAAAAAAAACACAAAACAAAAGGAAAAAAAGACCTGTTCTTTCATCAAGAGATAAGTGGACGGTATGCCCATCCCTGTGAACAACCAGATTGTCTTCCCCAAAAAGCTGGGTGTAGCCCTCATCAAAGGGGATAACAGGCAAGTTCCCATGGTGGAACCCAGATACAGAAACCAGAAGCAGAGTCAGGAAAAGGCCACAATAACCCACTACAGATTTCCCCATTTTCTTCACCCCCCCTGTTCTTTACAATCAAGCAATCAATGGTATGTATACAAAATACAAAGCTTAGAACTTTCAACCTTTCTTCGGTAACCCAGAACAAATTTCAAACGAAGAACAAAAAAAGAAACCAAAAAAGTCTTTCCCTCCGCTCTCTGTATGGAGAAAAAAAATATATATGTATGTGTATAAATATGGCTCTGAGCAGAGAGAAGAAGGAGCCAAAACTAGAATGAAAAGAGAAAAGCAGAGTGAGAAAGAGATGTCAAGACTAAAGAGAGAGCCGTGTGCTGGAGGGACAATGAAAGATAGCTCTAGAGCTCTACAGAAAGAGCTGAGAGAGAAGAAAACCAGAGGTGGAGAGGGAGGAAGGAGTAATCAAAAAGGCTAATGAGAAAGTGGGGAGGAGAGGAAGGAGTCCAGTTTTTAATGGGTAGAGTGAGAAAAAGGAGACTATGGGTCTTTTCTTTTTTTTTTTGGGGGGGAAGATAAAAATGAAAAATGGAAAAAATTGAAGAGAGAGAAGTGTGGTTGAGCTGTAAATGTTTATTGATTGATTTTGTGGAGCTTTGGGGACAGATTATTGATTTTCCGAGGTAAAAAGAAAATTAAATAAAATCCCGATTTGTGGATCCATTGGCAAAATTTCCCAACCTCCCACATTTATTAATTTATTAATTGATTGTTATCCATGGTTGTCACGCCGGCCGGCGTGCCACTGGTTGAACCTGGTTCAACCTGTACCGGTCATAAAACCGGCATGACACCCCCGGTATGACCGGCATGATCGATATACTAATCTCCAAGTAAAATGATCTTATCTTAGTGAATTTAATTGATAAAAAGTCATTTATTATTTGTTTTATGTGTTAAAAAGTTAAATGTTGATGTTATTTGTTAGATTCAAGTACAAATATTTAGGTATTTACGTTAAATGTCGTGTTTAAATATGAGTATTTGTAAATTATTTGTAATATTAACCGGTATGAACCGGCACAAACCGGTATGTACCACTGGTCGAACCATTCCACTTGCTAAACCGGCACAGTGGCATAAACCGGTTTGACAACCTTGTTGTTATCCCTTTACGAGGTTATTTTTGGTGATTTTTTGTAAATATTTTTGGTTTCGATATTGCCCAGAATGGAGACCGTTTGTTTCACCCATTTTCTCGTTCTGTGGCCTGGGCCTAGCTGGGATTTTCCTTGTACAGAAACAGAACCCAGATTTGTTCTTTCTTTGTTTATTGCCCAAATTTGTCTTCCCCATTTTATCAACTTCTGCCCAAAGATTTCTCCTTCTCTTTACATCGTTCTATGTGAAAAATAAAGTGTTGAGACTTGAGATCCAATAGGGTTCATCTCGATCCGCCAACCCCTTTAATTTTTTATATATTAGGGGGATGTTTGATTTCAACAGGTTAGGGTGCTTATAATCCTACTTGTAAGATAGGGAGTCATCGAATTAGATGATAGGCGTCTCATAGTCTATGGATCATGAATAGAAGGGGACGCTGAGTATACGATTTGACGGCTTCCAACTTATGTGACTATGTTCTCATAACCGGTGTTGTGAATATAGTAGTCGAATCGGTTTGATTTGAAGGTGAAATTGTAAGAATTATTGTAATATTATAAACATAATTTTTTTAATTTTAAAGCATCATTGTATATCTCAAATAAAAATTGTATGGGGTGTCAAATATGACTAAAGCATTCAACATCATACTACTAGCATGTGTTATGAAAATACATAAAATATGAAATGCATGGGGCATTCGTATCAAAACAAAGGCTAGGGTTAGGATGCTAACAAATGATCATTTGTTAGCATGGTGTTAACACTAACCTCAGCTAATAGAAAGCTTTTCTTATACGGAGTCCATATCTTAAAGGCATTGACCACATTTCATTGTTGATTTTAAAGAGAGAGGTATGCTTGTCATTTTGAAAAATAATAAGAGCAACACACATGTGGCGATGCCCATTTATTTTGTGTTTCGTCCTTAGTGGTAGTGTCACACCACACGTTTCATGAAGCATACTAGAATGGAGGAATTTTACAACACTTCAAATTATTGGTGTTTTAGTTTTTGCTTTTATGGTACAACCACAGGCTGTACCTATACTTATTGTATAAATCCCTTTAGCCTTTATGCTAAAAACTAAAGTTGTACCTTTATATTATGGTACAACTTGAAGTTGTATCATAACAAAAATGTCCTAATTAATTTCCTTATGGCACAACTTCAATTTATACTTTTAACGCTACGGTACAACTTTAGTTGTACTTTAAAGCACCAATGCGTTAAAGTATAGTAGAAGTAGTGCTCACTAGAAAACTCAACCAGAAACATGATAAACACACTGCATAAATACATAAAGTAGTCAAGAAAGCTCATAAGCATACTAAAAGCTCGCTTCCACCACAATACTCATAAATCATACAAGAAAAAGTCAAAGTTGACTACAAGTTCCTTGAAACGAACAAATGTGGTGCAAATGGGAACACTTAGCCTCGTTCTCAATTATTCCTATAATTTTCATGGGGTGCCAATGGGAACACTTACATAACTCCTTCTGCATCTTTCGCGCACATATGACTTATACATAGTGGCCAAAGTAGTCTGTCCTCAGCCATTGTAGAACTCTAACTTGTCCACTGTCTAACAGCCCATTCCAGATGATCAAAACATGGGAAGAAATATGAAAACATACAGAACTTCCTAAGAACAGTTGACAACACACTAGAACTATAGGAGCATTAACAAATAAGTGACCTCTTGTTCCTTCTCCCCCTGGACAAAGTAAACAAGCACGTTCTACAGAAATCCCACAAGCTACCAACTTATATTTAGTTGTGATCCTATTTAAAACAATTAACCATAACAACTATATGGCTTCCCCCATACAACCTGAAACCAATCAACTCGAGGACAAGGGTTATGTAATGACTTTCATATTGTTGTGACAGAATACTATGGAGTATGTAATGACTTCCATATTGTTTTGACAGAATACCAAGGTAGGATCTTATCATCCCAGGCCAGATGGGAGCCACTACTTAACAAATGAAGCTTGAGACCATCTCTACACTTCAATATTCGCTTCCATATCCAGGTTCTTGCTGAATTATCTGAGAGATCCCATATTGCTCTCTGCTTCAACATGTATTTCTTTACCCATGCAACGCATAACGACCCAACTTTTGCTAACAGGTTCCATATATGTTGAATTACAAACGCTTTGTTCCATATTTTGAAGTCACGTATCCCTAGTCCTTCATCAATATAATTGGTAATGCAACTTTAGGTCATGCCACCAAAGCCTTCTTCCTCTTATTAGGACCCCCAACTCCTTAAAGAAATTGATTTACTTTCTCGGGTAGAAAAAATAACGCCATCCAGAATTGCATAATGCTGGTTATCAAAAAAAGAAACCAGTTGCAGTCTTCCAGCATAATTGAATATACACACAGAGACAGAGGGAGAAGGTTAGAGGGTGGGTCCCGGAACCCATCCTGACTCGAGAGATAAAATGATATATCAAGTATAATCACTACAGGAAAATAAGCTTTACCCAACACATGGAATGTGTTGCAAAAAGTGGTAAAGTGTTGCATAAGTGATATGCAACACTTTTTGTAGTGACCCCTATAGGTGGTGTTGTATAAAGTAATAAGTAACACTTTTTTTTGTTTTTTGCAACATTATAATTATGTGTTGCATATGTATACCACTTAGGCAACACTATTTTAGGCAACACCTCAAAAGATTATGCAACACATTCTAACAAGTATAAGCAACATGTTTATATTTTATTCGTGACAAGTTTTGTTGTCATGTAAGATTAACCAATCGTGACAACTTTTCCTAGTAACAACTTCTACACATTTCTAACATGTTTGTATTGACACCAAATAATTTCAATTCTCACCAATTTAAGTTTGCCACAAATGTGTCTTTCCATACTGTATTGTCATCACAAAGTCATACTATTGTGACGATACTATCATCACTATAGCATGGTTTTGTGACAAGGAGATAATTTCGGCTATGGTGCCTTTGTAGCGAAACACATTTTTGTGATGAAGGTTTTTGTCTATGATCCAATATCTGTGACAACTACTTACTATCAAAAATTGTATACATTAGTGACGATCTGGTTCATCAGTAAACCAAATCTTGTTACAAGTTTTGTACATAAAATAGAAAGAAAGAATACATATGATCCTCCCACTCATATATACAAAACTCTAGCGATCTATCTGTAAAAGAATTCCCAAAACAAGTATAAAAAGCTATTTGTTTGAATAAGTAAATGTGATTCTTGCTACACTATGAGACCGAGAAAAGTTATACATATCCAAACAGTAAGAATGAAAGGCAATAATAGCAATCAATGAATTGCCCACTGCAAAAACTTTCCTATCATCACTAAGCCTCAAGCTTTGACTTTCTCATGAAGTACTAGAACCCGAAGAAGCATCTTCCACCCGGACTTGGCTCTGAAGAGTTCACTTATAGCCACAACGTTCTTTCTTTCAATGGTAAGCAACAACATGATGCTCCGTTGCACATTTTTCTTTCAAAAGAAGCCAATTTTATCTTAACATCAGCATATAAGAGATGTGATCCACATATATATTGACATATGATTTAGTATATTTCGTCACAATTTTGAACAACATATTTATAAATTTCCATGCTTTTCTACTTACAAGAATATACAGCATGTCACCAAAGAGAGAGTGGGAGAGACCTTGCAATTGCATTCTCCATAAAGTCAATGGAGCCGAGATATCTTTCTCTCAACAAGACTAATACATCCCAGAGATGCCAGAACGCAGAACCTACGGGCTACAAGCATACCTGAAAAAATGAGTAATCTCGAGTCCCAACTGATCATTGCTGAACACAGAGCAAGTGAGAGAAACAATAACCAACCCAAATAGACAAAGCCAGGCAAAGGTATTGTAATCCGCCCAATATAATTAAGCACACT